AGGCTCGTTTTCGTTTACGCCAGCACAAACATCGGCTGTCCCATGGAACGTATTTAAAGCGGCGTAATGATTGATAAGCCAATCACAGTGTTGTTTTACAAAGCTTATTTTCAAAATGGATACTCAAGGAGTCTTGTGATTGGCTTATTGATCATTATACCGGCGAAAATATATATCTCTGTCCATGGGACAGCTGATGAAGTTTTCAAAACGTGATTTTTTAACATATACATTCATACATGAAGCAATATTCCATAATTTCCATATGCGTGTACGTAGGTGTGTATCATTGTAGCATAAACGTCAGAACGCTGCAAAAACTAGCGTAAAATCTGTGCTGGCGTAACGAAAACGAGGGTTAAAGCCTTAATGTGATTGGCCAAGTTTCCTTTACAGCGTACGCCGCGCCGGCCGCGCCGGTACGCCGTACATTGGATCCATGGGACTTTACTCAGCGTGACGAAACACGAAACTCCAAACTGTAAAATAATACAAGTTTAATAGGCAAATTATGAAAAAAGTTTATTGTAATTATTATGTATAATTTTTTTTATTACAATATTTCTACTTTTATTCCATGCGTTTAAGGATGATGCAAATTTTATGATACTGAGCATGCGCATGTGGCCGCAAGGGAATGTTCAGTGTCGATTACCGAGATATTTTTTCATTTTTAAGACTAATATTAAACCAACAAACGCTAAAATTAGACCAACAATCATCAGCAAACGATTACGTATCGATTAGACCGTTTTTTAATTAAAAATGAGATTAATTTTTCCGGCTGACAACGCTAATTTTTCTTTTTTAATTAAAAAAAAATTAAGAACCAACAAACGTTGTAATTATATAGGCCGACAATCACCAACAAACGGCCAACAAACGGCCAACAAACGATTAAAAAAAAATTAATAAAGTCGAAGTTGACCGGCTAAGTTACCGGAGCTCGAGAGTCGGACGGTGGGGATACACACACGAAACTATTAAACGCGGCAAAATTTCCCAAACTGTCCAGAAGATTTTTTCGGACTCATTCGTACCTAAAACATGAATGACTAGATTTTTACTTTTTGGGACATACTTTAATAATCGCATAACATAAAACAACGTTAAGGAACATGTCAGATATTCTGAGTGTTGAGCTGCCCAGACGTTGTACGACATCTCCGAGTGAGTCTGAATATTTCCAAAAGTCTTTATAAAGTCTTTCATGTTCTGAAATGTACTCGCGTGGGAAATGTGTTGTAAGTAAAAATGCAAGTCCAGAGGACTGTTTCCCTCTCGCATAGAAAATAAATCTGTGCAAAGGCATAGTTCCAGGGGAGCGCATAAACCTCTGTGCTCAATGCCGTCTTTGTGATTTTGACAAAAGCTAGCAGCACACTTCTCTGACAACTCTCCAACGACTTGATGTTCCGTTCGTGGCAAACTAGGCACTCCCTTGGAAAACAGAACATTTGTATCTCATCCGCATTCAGGCGACGTCCCAACCTGGACGACACTAGCTGCATGAACATCAGCTTCTTTTCGGTCCATAATTCATCATCCGTAGTTTCACCGCCATCATCCATGCTGTAATATGGCAGCACGTTCTGTATTGCTTTGCACAAAGATTTGTGCTGCTTCCAGTGCTGCTTCTGATGTTCCTGACCACAATAGAAGATCATCTTACAGTTACTGCATTGCTTCAAATGGACGCCATCGCCAAACCGTTTGCAAACGTGGCACATGGTTGCGCAGAAGAAGTTATTATAATCGTTATTAATTTGATTTCTCGCTTCTGATTCCATGACTTTTACCTATAAACAGTCTCGTTATATCAAAGTCTCCTTCAGTGTAAAAGACAAATACACACAGTGTTTGGAATGTGATTTCCCAAGTCGCATGCGTATAAATCGACAATTTAATTCTTACGTTTTTAACGCTTTTTCCAATAGAGAGAGAGAGAGCGACCTGAAATATATATTCTGAAGATATTGAAATTTTCTGCTCACGTCACGTCTGCTTTAGGTTTTCAGTATTGTCATTTACATTGCCGAATGCTTCACGAAATATAATTTGTTGCGACAATTTGTAATTTGTACAGCTATTATCTGCAAATCAGATTGATTGAAAAAATTGACACTTAACCCACTACCTTATTGTTTTTAATTGGTATACTTCCCAGGTAGCAGAGTGACGTCTTAATAATGTCTTAACGACGTCTCTGGACGTCAATTAGGCCTCATTAAGACGTCTTTAGACGTTATTCTGCTACCTGAATTATGATATAACATCACATTTTAAAATTATGTATGTACAATTATTATGAAAATGACTAAGTCATTCTCATAATGTTAATGAAAGAAATAATAAAATTCCAATTTCCAAATTAAAATGTCACACACATTTTGTTCTTAATTATATTCCAAAATTTATTATAAATTTTAATTTTTTTAAATTTTAAACTTGAAATTTTAGGAAATTTTGAAAAATTCTTAACCTCGTTGGAATACTCAAAACGATACTCACGTAAAGAAAGAACGGTGGGAAACTGTACTGCTAAAAGCTAGAGTTAGAATGTCACGGCCACTTGATCTCTGTTATTGTTTTGGTCGTCGACTGTCGCAGTCGCGGGCAACTGTGTGATGTGAGAAATGTTAGGAATATCGATAAAAAAGAAATAAATAATTGCCATTTCGTAAATGCTTGACACATTCTTTATTACAAAGATATAAACTTCATTACAAAACAATTAATAAAAAGTCTTGTCTTCATTACAAACAGAATTGAATGCAACACATTGTAAATCCAAGTGTGTTATTTCTACACGCACAAACGTCTAAAAATGACACATTTTACTGGAGCTTGTTTTACATATTTTGTTACGTGTTAAATAAACACGTTGAATTAAATTAAAAGTTAATTTAAATTAAATAAAACTAAAAGTTAATTTAATACGTTCAACCGTGTTAAATGACGTAATTTAAAACAGCAAGAAATGTGTAAGAAGAGCTTCAGTTAAAATAACACACTTGAGATTTACAGTGCAGTCGTACTGCAATCATATTAATATTTTACAATTTACATTACCGCATTCACTTGTCCTGTTATATCTAATAATCGTATAATCCATTATGCTCGACTGATGTAAGACAATCGACCCTACAATTAGAAAATACTGAAAATAGCCATTTAGGATTTCTGGATTATTATAAATATAAGCGGACATTCCGGAGTGTCGGCTATCACCCAGCCGAAATGCTAGCGTCTTTTCGACGTCTATAGATGTCGATAGATGTCGAATCGACATCTATAAGATGTCAATTCGACGTCTATAGACGTCGGCGTTCCGGCTGGGCAGTCTTTTGGAGTTTGTTTCGTGAAGACACGTCGCGATTCGCAGATGTAGTACATACAATTTTCTTTGCGTTCCTTTTTTCGTTACATTTAATAATCGCGTTTAATAAACGTTAAGTTCAGTTAATTCGTGTGTGTCATTTCGCGCGCGCTACATTTCCTTCAAACACAGCCGTTAGTTTGTATCGGTCGCTTAAATTACGCATAACAGTTACGATCAAAGATCCCGGCAGACAGCGACATATTGATTCTCATAATACACGCGCTCCGGCCCGAGAACTCTATGCGGTCTGAGACTAGCGGATGGATTCTTTTCTCTATAGATATAATGTACCCGTCTACCCAGAATTGTATTTATTCTGTCAGTCTCCTTCTCGAAGTCTTGACGCGTGACAGACGTTAAGACGAACGGACAATTTTGTTTCGCTATCAGCTTAATGGACGGCGCCCACGTTTCCTTCTCGGATCCAAGTTTATGCTCGTGAATACCCAGGTTAAATCCTACAATAAAGTCCGGTCTTACGAATGACGGGCTGCGTACATAGTTGTCGTATAACGCATCGTGGTACTTAAAAATAAACTTTTGTTATCCGACGATGTACAGGGATCACAAGCGTTTGAGGTGTATTTATATTTTAATTCCGGCCCTATCATTACAATCGTTACTGACATCACGATCTCTAATAAACAAGACAAAACTTCCCATCCGATCAAGGTGCATTCCTCGGCGCGACTCGCACCTACAACATGAACGACAAAATCTTTGTTGCTTCTTGGGCTATAGTGTAATAATCGCATAGCACAAAACAGCGTCAAGGGACGTGTCAGATATTGTGAGTGGTCGGCTGCCAAGGCACCGTCCGGGTCCGAGTCATCCCGAATAACCCCATAAGCGTCTATAAAGTCGTTCATGTCCAGAAATTCAATGTTTGTGTCGAAAACGTGTTTCGCGTAAGAAATCATGTCCGGCACACAAGAATTAGTGCGATCCTCTTTTGTAGCTAATAAATCTGAACGAAAACACAGTTCCAGGGAAGCGCAGATGTTTCTGTGCTCAATGCCGTCTTCGTGGTCTTTTATACAAAAGCAGGTAGCACACTTCTGACAAACCTTCAACGATTGAGCGTTTCGTTCGTGGCAAATCAGGCACTCTCTTGGAAATTTGAACATTTGCATCTCACACATCGTCAGACGACGTTTCAGCACGCGCGACACCAGCAGCATGAACATCTGCTTTATGTTGATCCATTCCTCCGACGTTTCTCCGCGAACATTCATGTTGTAGCCTTGCCGGCCTTGCAGCACGTTCTGTATGGCTTTGCACAAAGGTTTGTGCTGCTTCCAGTGCTGCTTCTGATGTTCCTGACCGCAATAGGAGATCATCTTGCAGTTACTGCATAGCTTCAAAGGGACGCCGTCGCCAATTCGTTTGCAAACGTGACACATGGTCGCGTAGAAGAACTTATTATAGTCGTTATTAATTTGATTTCTCGCTTCTGATTCCATGACTTGTGCTCACAGTCCAATCTCATTATATCAAGTCTCCTTCGGTGTAAGAGGCAAATACACACAGTGTTTGGAATGTTGTGATTTCGCACAATTTCGCAGGTAACACGTGGAGCATTGTGGCGCACGCGTAAATCGACTATTGACTTTCCGCGCTTTTGACCTTCCTTCCAATGGTCCGTCTCGAAATCTTCCGGGGATATTGAAATCTATTGTTCACGTCATGCTTTAGGTTTTCAGTACTGTCATTTTCATCGCATCACGAAATAACGAAATATACATAATTTGTTGACGTTGCGTTTGTAATTTGTACAGCTGTTACCTATAAACATTGCAATGAGATTGATCGTAATAATTAACACTTAAATTCTCACTGCTTGTTTGTAATTAATACTACTTTTGATGTAACATTGTATTTTAAAATCATAAATGTAATTATAGTCATTTTCATAATGTAAATGAAAGAAAGAATCAATAAAATGCCGATTTCTAAATTTAAATTAAAATTTTAAATTAAAATATGTCATCTTATTCATAATTATATTCTAATATTTCTTATAATATTCTACTTTCAGAATTTCAATCTTATGGTATGAAAAATCACGATTCTTGAAAATATATTAAAAAATTCTTGAAATTTCTAATAGTACAATTTCACCTAGACAGCACGTATGTTTAAAAGGTCCGTATTCATAGTCGGATCTTATTCCAAGACTGTCTTAAGTAATGTCTCAAAATGCTAATACGGCTTTGTGATTGGTTCATAACATCTTAAGATCGTACCTGAGATAGTCGTAAATATAAGATTCGAATATGAATATACCGGCTTAAGATGTCTTTTATGCGCGCTGCCTGGGTCTGGCCGAATATATTCTCCTAATCGATTTTTGAGACTTGTGAGAAAATTCTTGGAAAATAAGAAAATTATTAGAATTTTAGACAGTTAAGCAGGTATTTAGCCGTTAAGCAGTTAAGGTATTTAGCAGGTTGTCAAAATGCATTCTTTAGAGAAAAAATTTTAAACTTTGTTAATCTCAGCACAAGTGTATGTTGATAGCTGTTATTAGTAACATTAATAATCTCGTAAAAAAATACATGCTCCTCGAAACGATACTCACGTACAAAAGGGTAGGAAGCCAGGACCACACACTCAATCTCTGTCATTATTGCGATCATCGACTGTCACAGGAAGCTTTTCACACATGTGATATCAAAAAATATCGAAACAGAAACAATTACCATCATATAAATGCTTGCTACATATTTATTACAAAGATATAAATATTATTATAAAAATTATCGAAAAGTTTTGTCTTCATTATAAAAAGAACTAAAAGCCATTGTAATAATATTTTACGTTACCACATTCACTACTGTTATATTTATAATCCATTTATGCCCGACTGATATAAGATAATCGATTCAACAAGTAAATAATGGCTCCTTGGATTATAAATATAAGTAGAGACATTCCGGAGTGTCGGATTTCAGTTTTTAGCAGTTTATTTCGTAATAACGCGTCGCGATTCGCAGTTGTAGTTCATAGTATGAATTAACTTCATATAGTTATCTCTGCGTCCCTTTCGTTGCATTTCTTAAACGTAAAATTCCATTTAACTCGTATTCTTTCATTTCGCACACGTAACGTTTTTTTCGGCAAAAAACACAGCCTTCAGTTCGTATCGGTAGTTTAAATTACGCGTATCAGTTACGAACAAAAACTTCGGTAGATAATCATATACTGATTATGATAACACACGCGCTCTGACCAAAAGTCTCTATGCGGTTTGCAACTGGCGAATGGGTTCTTTCCGCTACCGAAATAAATCTAACTCCTTACCCAGGATTGTGTTCATTTTGTTCATCCCCTTCTCAAGTTCCCGTTGCTTAGAAAACGTTAAGATAAACGGACAATTCTGTTTCGCTAACGTATGGATGGCGCCCATATTTCCTTATTATTATGTTCCTCAATACTCAAGTAAAATCCTACAATCAAGTCCGGTTTTGTGAATGTCGAACTGTCCACATAGTCCTCGTATGACACATCGTGGTACTCAAAAAACAAACTTTTGTTCCCAACAAAAAAGTTATCATCAGTGCGTGTGCGTGACGAATCTAATTTATCTTTTAAGCCCGGCCCTATCATTACAATCATTATTGATGTCACAGTCTCCATTAACTGCAGGAAAATTTCCCACGTCCATACATAAGGTGGTTTCTTCGAGGTAATTTGCACCTACAACATGAATGATTAAAAATGTACGTGCCTTTTGGAACATAATTTATCAATCCCACAGCATAAAACAGCGTCAAGGGACGCGTCAGATATTCTGAGGAATGGGCTGCCCGATATTGTACCCCATCTCCGAGTCCGTCTGAATATACACAAAAGCCTTTATAAAGTCTCTCATGTTGTGAACTGCAGTACTCGTGGAGGAACTGTGCAAGATACTATTCGGAATGTTGCAGTATCCTTCTTCTATAGAAAAAAATAATTTTATACGAAGACATAGTTCCAGAGGAGCGCAGATGTCCCAGTGGTCAATGTAGTTTTCGTGAATTTGACAAAAGCTGACAGCACACTTCTTACAACTCTTCAACGACTTCCATTCGTGGCAAATTAGGCACTCGTTTGGAAAAAGGAACATATCCATCTCACTCACATTCAGGTCACGTCCTAGCCTGGACGACACTAGCTGCATGAAGGTCAGCTTCTTGTCGGCCCATTCCTCATCCGTAGTTTCATCGCGATAATCCATGCTGTCGTCTTGCAGCACGTCCTGTATGGAGTTGCACAAAGATCTGTGCTGCTTCCAGTGCTGCTTCTGATGTTCCTGACCACAATAGGCGATCATCCAGCAGCCACCGCATCTCTTCAATTGGACGCCGTCGCCAAAACGTTTGCAAACGTGACACATGGTCGTGTAGAAGAACAACTCGGTATAGTCGTTATTAATTTGATTACTTGCTTCTGATTCCATGACTTCTGCTTATACACAGTCTCGTTATATCAAAGTCTCCTTTGCAGTGTAAAGGACAAATATTATAGTGTTTGGATTGTTGTGATTTCACCCGTGATTTATCTTGCACCCGTAAGATATGAGCGTTAAGCAAAATATGACAAAATTGGTAGAATGATTATCATTCCATGCGAATAATGGGAAGGATACTGTTTTTGCTGGTTTATCAAATAGAGGATTCGTGTGCACTCCGCGTACATCCACGCGACCGCTTGCTTCGTGATGCGATAGTACTCAAACACCATGCAAGCTTTTTTAGGCCGCTATTAGCTTAGTTCTGGTATCTACGTGAGACTGAAGCCTGCAACAAATAAACGTATAGTAGTTAGATAAAATCTCGAGTGCCTTTCGAATCGCAAAATCTGTAAATATGCTCTTACTTGTAAATATATATGCTGTAACCTGACCTACGTTCCTAATCTGTGATGAACGAGCTTTTGTCGTATTTTATACAGAATCAATTATTGAATTTTGTTGATCTTATCATATACATATGAAATTATTGATAATGTTAATAATCTCGTTGGAATACACACCCTCCGCGATACGATACTTATACTCACGTAAAGAACGGCGAGAAACTGCATATGTTATCCTGCCACAGGTGCTACAGCCACTTTGACCTCTGTTATTGTTTTGATCGTCGACTGTGGCAAGTATCTGTGAATCTGTCACGCGTCGCAAACGTGTAATTTTAAAAATATCAGAGATTTCAGAAATATCGCTGGAGAAGAAACAATTGCTATTCCGTAAATGCTTGATGTAGATTTTATTACAAAGATATAGATTTTATCGCAAACAATTAACGAAAAATCTTGTCTTCATTACAAATAGAACTGAAAGCAACAACCATTGTATTTAATATTTTACAATACCGCAGCCATGTGTCCTGTCATATCTATAATCGCTGTAGCAATACAATCCATTATGCTTGATGCAAAAGACAATCGACTCTACAAGTAGATAATGTGTTATTTTACATATTTTGTTGCGTGTTAAATAAACACGTTGAATTAAATTAAAAGTTTATTTTAATTAAATGAAATTATAAAAAACTAGCTTTTCGGCCCGCGCTTCGCGCGGGTATAAATCTATCTGTATATTAATTATATGCTTTCAATTCACCCATTAATTTGAAACACTAAATTTGTTATTTTTTCTTCTTAAACTGTAATCTACATCTTCGTTTTTTTTAGATTCAACCTTTATTTTACTCTCAGTTTAATACTAATTTTTAATTTAAATACATTTTTTTTTATTTTTAAAAAGTTTCAATTTTTCATCGTGAATTTTTTAATATCCGTAAATTTTGAGATATTGGGCCTTTTTTTTTTTTTTTTTTTTCGTTGGAGGAGGAAAATGCCTAATGCATACCCTAGGGCCGGTCCCTACCTAGGGTTATGCCGGACTTGCCGGACTTCTTTAAAATTCAATTATTTCCCAAGAAATTGGAAAAATTTTGTAACCGGTTTCCAAAAAGATCGGTAACGAAAAATAATACACTTTATAGCACTCCCCGAAAAATTCTACCTCTGTTTCATAAATTCTACCTCTGTTTCATATATCAGACAGACAGACGTCCGGTACTTATATAGATCAAGAAAATCAATTCATTAATGAAAAATTATCCATTAATAAAAAATTAAACTTATCCTCCAAAAATTAAAAAAATTTTGACACGACTCCTATTCCATATATAATTTTTTAAGATTTGGTCAATTAATTCCCGAAAAATTGGAAAAAATGTGTAACCGGTTCCCAAAAAAATCGGTAACAAAAAATTGTACACTTTATAGCAATCCCGGGGAAATTCTACCTTTATTTCATATGTAATTCTTTAAGATTCAATTATTTCCCGAGAAATTGGAAAAATTTTGTAACCGGTTTTCAAAAAGATCGGTAACAAAAAATAATACACTTTATAGCACTCCCCAGAAAATTCTACCTCTACTTCATATACAATTGTTTGAAATTCGGTCAATTAATTTCCGAAAAATTGGAAAATTTTCTGATACCGATTTCCCCAAAGATCGGTAACGAAAAATTATATATTTTATGGCAATCTCCGGGAAATTCTACCCCTACTTCATATAATTTTTTAAGATTCGGTCAATTAATTTCCGAAAAATTGGAAAAATTTTGTAACCGGTTTAACGAAAAATTATACACTTTATAGCACTCCCCGGAAAATTCTACCTCTGTTTCATATATAATTCTTTTAAATTCGGTCGATTATTTCCCGAAAAATTAGAAAAATTAGAAAAATCGGTTTCCAGAAAATCGGTAATGAAAAACTATACACTTTATGGCACTCCCCGGGAAATTCTACCCCTATTTCATGTACCCTTGATAAAAATTCGGTCCACTAACGAATGAGTAGTTCGCGGTCAGACAGACAGACAGACAGACAGACAGACGTCCGGTACTTATATATATAGATAATTTAAAACGTTCAATCGTGTTAAACGACGTAATTTAAAACGGCAAGAAATGTGTAAGACGAACTCCGGTTAAAATATCTAAATAACACACTTGAATTTGCAGTGCAGTTATAATAATATATATTTTACAATTTACATTACCGCATCTACGTGTCCCGTTATATCTATAATCGTATAATCCACTATGCTCGACTAATGTAAAACAATTATCGACTATACAATTATAGAAAATAGCCATTTAGGATTTTTGGATTATAAATATAAGCAGACATTTCGGAATGTCGGCTATCAGTCTTTTGGAGTTTGTTTCGTGAAGACACGTCGCGATTCGCAGATGTAGTACATATATAATTTTCTCTGCTATAATTTCCTTCCGTTACATTTATTAAACGTTAAGTTCAGTTAATTCGTGTGTGTGTCATTTCGTGCGCGCTACGTTTCCTTCGTCATCAAACACAAGCCGTTGGTTTGTATCGGTCGCTTAAATTACGCATATCAGTTATGAACAAAGACTCCTGTAAATAATTACATATTGATTTATATAAGCTACGTACTGCATCCCGATAGTTCTATGTGGTTTTAAGCTGGCGAATGGATTCTTTCCGCTATACAGATGGTCTACGTCTTTATTCAGGATTGTATTTATTATGTCCGTCTCCTTTTTAAATGAATATTGCGTGGCAGACGTTAAGACGAACGGACAATTTTGTTTCGCTAACATCTGTATGGACGGCGCCCACGTTTCCTTACTGGACCTTCCTTGAAGTTTATACTCGTGAATATACAGATTAAATCCTACAACCAAGTCCGGTTTTACGAATGACGAGCTGCATACATAGTTCTCGTATAACACATCGTGAAACTCAAACGTCAAACATTTTTTCTCTCGTGACATACAGTTATCGCAATTATTTAACAGATTTGATTTACATGGTAATTCCGGCCCTATCACGTTACTATAACTATCATCATGGTTCCTATTAAACGCGGCAAAATTTCCCAAAATGTCCGGAAGATTTCGTCGGACCCATTCGTACCTAGAACATGAATGACTAGATTTTTACTTTTTGGGACATACTTTAATAATCGCATAACATAAAACAATGTTAAGGAACATGTCAGATATTCTGAATGTTGAGCTGCCCAGACGTTGTGCGACATCTCCGAGTCAATCTGAATATTCCCAAAAGCCTCTATAAAGTCTTTCATGTTCTGAAATGTACTCGTGCAGGAAATGTGTTGTAAGTAAAAATGCAAGTCCAGAGGACTGTTTCCCTCTCGCATAGAAAATAAATCTGTGCAAAGACATAGTTCCAGGGGAGCGCATATGTCTCTGTGCTCAATGCCGTCTTTGTGATTTTTACAAAAGCTGGCAGCACACTTCTGACAACTCTCCAACGACTTGTTCCGTTCGTGGCAAACTAGGCCCTCTCTTGGAAAACAGAACATTTGCATCTCATCCGCATTCAGGCGACGTCCCAACCTAGACGACACTAGCTGCATGAACATCAGCTTCTTTTCGGTCCATAATTCATCATCCGTAGTTTCACCGCCATCATCCATGCTGTAATATGGCAGCACGTTCTGTATTGCTTTGCACAAAGATTTGTGCTTCTTCCAGTGCTGCTTCTGATGTTCAGAACCACAATAGAGGATTATCTTACAGTTACTGCATCGCTTCAAAACGTCGTCGCCAAACCGTTTGCAAACGTGGCACATCGTCGCGTAGAAGAACTTGTTGTAGTTGTTATTAATTTGATTTCTCGCTTCTGATTCCATTTCTACCTATAAACAGTCTCGTTATATCAAAGTCTCCTTCAGTGTAAAAGACAAATACACACAAGTGTTTGGAATGTAATTTCCCAAGTCGCATGCGTAAATCGGTAATTTAATTCTTACGTTTTTAACTCTCTTCCCAATGGAGCGACCTGATGAAATGTTCTGAAGATATTGAAATCTACTGCTCATGTCACGTCTGCTTTAGGTTTTCAGTATTGTCATTTACATTGCCGAATGCTTCACGAAATATAATTTGTTGACAATTTGTTGCGACAATTTCTAATTTGTACAGCTATTATCTGTAAACATTGCAAATGAGATTGATTGAAAACATTAACATATAACCCACTACCCTATTGTTTTTAATTGGTACTAATTAATATGATGTATAACATCACATTTTAAAATCATGTACGTACAATTATTATGAGAATGACTAGTCATTCTCATAATGTTAATGAAAGAAATAATAACATTCCAATTTCCAAATTAAAATGTCATTTTGTTTTTAATTATATTCCAATATTTTTTATAAATTTTTATTTTTTTAAATTTTTAACTTAAGATTTTAAAAAATCTTGGAAAATTCTTAATCTCGTTGAAATACTCAAAACGATACTCACGTAAAGAAAGATCGGCGGTAAACTGTACTGCTAGAGCTAGAATGCCACGATTGCCACGGCCACTTGATCTCTGTTATTGTTTTGGTCGTCGACTGTCGCAGTCGCGGGCAACTGTGCGATGTGAGAAATGTTAGGAATATCGATAAAGAAATAAATAATTGTCATTTCGTAAATGCTTGAATGCTTGACACATATTTTATTACAAAGATATAAATTTCATTACAAAACAATTAATAAAAAGTCTTATCTTCATACAAACAGAATTGAAAGCAGCACATTGTAAATCCAAATATGTTATTTCTACACGCATAAACGTCTAAAAATGACAGGTTTTACTGGAGCTTGTTTTGTTTTGTTACGTGTTAAATAAACACGTTGAATTAAAACTTAAATTGTAATTAAATGAAATTAAAAGTTAATTTAATACGTTCAACCGTGTTAAGGACGTTCTCTCGTCCTTATACTAGAGAAAATCGATTTTCTTAGAATTTTCTTGAAACTGTGAATATACGTTAATTTAGGTGTGTTTTATGCGTGGTATAAATTTCAATACCTCTTCCGGTATAAAAAATAAAGATACTGAGCCTCAAAGTTTCAAAAAAAATTTTTTTAATTTAATTTTTTTTAGTTTTGGCATTTTTTCCTTATAGAACTCGACGAGAGGAGCAACTTTGGTCCTCTTGGCCAACCTCGTATCTCTTACCGTTTGGCCTGGAAAAACTTTTCATTAGTAAAAGTTGAAACTTTGAGGCTCAGTATCTTGATTTTTTATACCGGAAGAGGTACTGAAATTTATACCACGCATAAAGCACACCTAAATTAACGTATATTCACAGTTTCAAGAAAATCCTAAGAAAATCGATAATCTCTAGTATAAGAACGAGAGAACGTCCTTAAATGACAGTTAAAATAACACACTTGAATTTGCAGTGCAGTCATACCAGTCATATTAATATTTTACAGTTTACGTTACCGCATCCACAAGTCCCGTTATATCTATAATCGTATAATCCATTACGCTCAACTGATGTAAGACACAATAATTGTCGACTCTACAATTAGAAAATGGTCACTTAGGATTTTTAAATTATTATAAATATAAACATGAGACATTCCGGAGTGTCGGCTATCAGTCTTTTGGAGTTTGTTTCGTGAAGACACGTCGCGATTCGCAGTTGTAGTTCGTAGTTATCTCTGCGTCCCTTCCGTTGCATTTATTAAACGTAAAATTCCATTTAACTGATTTTCTTTCATTTCGCACACGCAACGTTTACTTCAGCATAAAACAGCCTTCAGTTTGTATCCTCTTCAGTCGTACTTTTTTTATGTATATCAGGTACGAACAGACTTTGGTAGATAACTACATACTGATTATGATAATACACGTGCTCTGGCCCGAGGACTCTGTGTGGTCTAAAACTAGCGAATGGGTTTTTTTCACTAAAGAGATAATCTACCTTCTTATCCAGGATTGTGCTTATTTTGTTTGTCCTCTCCTCAAAGTCCTGTCGCGTCATAAACGTTAAGATAACCGGACAATTTTGTTTCCCTACCGCATGTATGGACGGCGCCCATATTTCCTTATTAGACCCAAGTTCATGTCCCTCAATACTGAAGTTAAATCCTACAATCAAGTCCGGTTTTACGAACGATGGATTGAGTACATAATTCTCGTATGACACATAGTGGTACTCGAAAATTACACTTTTGTTCTCTAGCGATATACATTTATCACAAGTGCGTATAGGATCGAACTTTATTAAGTCCGGACCTATCATTATAATTACGACTGACGTTACAGTCTCTAATAAATGCAGCAAAACCCTCCACGTCAATAAGGTGACTACTTCGATGTGATTCGCACCTACAACATGAATGACTAGAACTTTGCCTTTTAAGACATAGTTTAACAATCGCATAGCATATAACAACGTCAAGGGACGTGTCAGATATTGTGATTTTTCGGCTGCCAAAATATCGTCCGACATCGCCGAGTCAGTCGTATTCCCTAAAGCGTATATAAAATCTTTCATGTTCTGACACGTACTCGCGTCCGAAATGTGTTTCAAATCAGGAAACAGCTCCAGAGGAGTTAAATATAATTCTGTTATAGTTAATAAATCTGAACGAAGACCTAGTTCCAAGGTAGCGCAGATGTTCTTGTGCTCAGTGCCGTTTACGTGATTTTTACAAAAGCTGGCAGCACACTTCCGACAATCCTCCAACAACTTATCGTTCTTTTCATGGCAAATTAGACACTCTTTTGGAAATTTGAACATTTGTGTCTCGCCCTTCTTCAGACGACGGCCCAGCTTGTACGATACCAGCATCATGAAGATCAGCTTCTTCTCATCATAATCCTCTGAAATTTTACCGCGGTCATTAAAGTCGTATTCCTGCAAGGCGTCCTGTATGGCTTTGCACAAAGGTTTGTGCTGCTTCCAGTGCTGCTTCTGATGTTCCTGACCACAATAGGCGATCATCCTGCAGCTACCGCATCTCTTCAAACAAACGCCGTTACCAAACCGCTTGCAAACGTGACACATGGTCGCGTAGAAAAACTTGTTATAATAATCGTTATTTTGATTTCTTGCTTCTGATTCCATGACTTCTGCCTATACACAGTCTCGTTATATCAAAGTCTCCTTCAGCGTAAAAGAAAAATACAGTGTTTGGAATGTTGTAATTTTGCAGGTTGCACCCACAGGATAAGCGTTAAGCAAAATATGACAAAATTGGTAGAATAATTATCATTCCATGCGATGAATAGAAAAGATACTGTTATGCTGGCGTTGTCAAATAGAGGATTCGTGTACGTGCACCTCCCGTACATCCACAACCGCTTGCTTCGTGGATGCGATAGTACTCGAACACCAAGCTTTTTTAGACCGCTACCAGCTTAACTCATCTGGTATCCGCGTGAGGCTGAAGCCTGCAACCTGCAACAAGTACGCGTAGTCATTAGATAAAATCTCGAATGCTTTTCGAATCGCAAAATCTGTAAATATGCTTTTGCCTATCTGTAAATATATATGCTGTAACCTGACTTACTTTCCTAATCTGCGATAAACGGGCTTTCGTCGAAACGTATTTTATACAGAAACAATTATTGAATTTTGTTAATCTTACCACATATATATATATAATAATATTAGTAACGTCAATAATCTCGTTGGAATACACCCTCCGCAGAACGGTATATACTCACGCAAAGAACGACGGGAAACTGTTATCCTGCCACAGGCGTTACAGCCACTTGACCTCTTGTCATTGTTTTGATCGTCGACGTCGACTGTCGCAAGCACCAATGAATCTGTCACGCGTGGCACACGACACACGTGTGATTTCAAAAATATCGCTGGAGAAGAAACAATTGCCATTCCGTGTAAATGCTTGATATATATTTTATTACAGAGATATAAATTTCACCGCAAATAATTAACAAAAAGTCTTATCTTCATTACAAATAGAACTGAAAGCAACAACCATTGTATTTAATATTTTACATTACCACAGCCATGTGTCCTGTTATATCTATAATCGCTCTGCATCTACAATCCATTATGCTCGATGCAAGACAATCGACTCTACAAGTAGAAAACATGCTCTAGGATTTTTGGATTATAAATATAAGCAAACATTTCCGAGTTTCGGCTTTTCAGTTTGTATCGTGAAAACACGTCGCGATTCGGTGAAAGCGTGTAAAAGTACATATAATTTTCTTTGCATTCCTTTCGTTACGCACTTATTAAACGTTAAGTTCAGTTAATTCGTGTGTGTCATTTCGCCCGCGCTACGTTCTCTTCGGCATAAAACACATCAGCATCTAGTTTATTGTATCGGTCGCTTAAATTACGCATATCAGTTATGAACAAAGACTCCTGTAGATAATTAAATATTGATTCACATAATATACGTATTCCCTGCCCATGATTCTATATGCTCTTAAACTAGCGAATAGATTCTTTCCGCTATACAGATAATCTACTTCTCTATCCAGGATTGTGTTTATTCTGTCTGTCTCCTTCTTAAATGCATATAGCGTCAAAGACGTTAAAACAAACGGACAATTTTGTTTCGCTATCAACTTCATGGACGGCGCCCACGTTTCCTCACTGGACCCAAGTTCATGCTTGTGAATACACAGGTTAAACCCTACAACCAAGTCCGGTTTTACGAATGACGGACTGTTTACATAGTTCTCGTATAACACATCGTGAAACTCAAACGTCAAACATTTTTTCTTTCGTGACATAAAGTTATCGCTATCATGTAACGGATTTAATTTACGTGTTAATTCCGGCCCAATCATTATAATCGTCACTGGCATTGCGGTCCCTATTAAACGCGGCAAAACTTCCCATCCCATCAAGGTATCTTCTTCGACGCAATTCGCACCTATAACATGAACGACTATAGCTTTGCTTTTTGGGACATAGTTCAATAATCGCATAGCATGAAACAACGTCAAGGGACGTGTTAGATATTCTGAGTATTTGCCTGCCAAGACATTGTACAACATCTCCGAGTGAGTCTGAATATTTCCAAAAGTCTTTATAAAGTCTTTTATGTTCTGAAATGTACTCGTGCAGGAAACATGTTGCAAATAACTATCCGGAGGTTTGTTTCCCTTTTCTATAAAAAATAAATCTGTACGAAGACCTAGTTCCAGGGGAGCGCAGATATTCCTGTGATCAATGCCGTCTTTGTGATTTTGACAAAAGATGGCAGTACACTTCTGACAACTCTCCAACGACTTGATGTTCCGTTCGTGGCAAACTAGGCACTCCCTTGGAAAACAGACCATTTGTATCTCATCCGCATTCAGGCGACGTCCCAACCTGGACGACACTAGCTTCGCGAAGGTCAACTTCTTAGCGGCCCATTCCTCTATAGTTTCACCGCGATCATCCATGCTGTAGTCTTGCAGCACGTCCTGTATGACTTTGCACAAAGATTTGTGTTGCTTCCAGTGTTCCTTCTGATGTTCCTGACCACAATAGGAGATCATCTTGCAGTTACTGCATCGCTTCAAAGAGACGTCGTCGCCAAACCGCTTGCAAACGTGACACATGGTCGCGTAGAAAAACTTGTTATAATCGTTATTTTGATTTCTCGCTTCTGATTCCATGATTTCTGCCTATACACAGTCTCGTTATATCAAAGTCTCCTTCAGTGTAAAGGATAAATATAGTGTTTGGAATGTTGTGATTTCACCCGTAATTTATCTTGCACTCGTAAGATATGAGCGTTAAGCAAAATATGACAAAATTGGTAGAATGACTATCATTCCATGCGATAAATAGGAAGGATACTGTTTA